AGTGGGACCCCGTAACCCACACGGAGACATCGGGAGTTTGATTCAGTAGGACCCCAGAACCCACTCGGAGACATTTAGAGACTGATTCACTGGGACCCTGGAACCCACACGGAGACCTCAAGAGACTGATTCAGTGGAACCCCAGAACCCACACGGAGACATCGGGAAATTGATTCAGTGGAACCCCAGAACCCACACGAAAACCTCGAGAGACTGATTCAGTGGGACCCTGGAACCCACACTGAGACCTTGAGAGACTGATTCAGTGGGTCACAGGAACCCAGACAGGGACCTCGAGAGACTGATTCAGTGGGACCCTGGAACCCAGACAGGGACCTCGAGAGACTGATTTAGGGGGAACCCCGGAAGCCACACAGGGACCACGAGAGACTTATTCAATAGGAAGTGAGCAGAAGATATGTAGGGTTTTCAACGCTCACTTGAAGAGACTTTTAATCATATTAAAAATTCCTATTGATGTGGGAACTTCGTTGGTTACTGAGGGAGTGGGACTGAGTGCAGTGATATGAATTCCTAGTGCATTCATTCACTCATTCTCTCTCTCTCTCTCTCTCTCTCTCTCTCTCTCTCTCTCTCTCTCTCTTTTTTTTTCTCTCCCTCTGTGTGTGTGTATGTGTGCATGGATGAGTGTCAAATACGGGACTGTATATAAATCAGCGTTTTATTTTTCTGTGGGAACTTCGTTGGTTACTGAGGGAGTGGGACTGAGTGCAGTGATATGAATTCCTAGTGCATTCATTCACTCATTCTCTCTCTCTTTCTCTCTCTCTCTCTCTCTCTCTCTCTCTCTCTCTCTCTCTCTCTCTCTCCCTCTGTGTGTGTGTATGTGTGCATGGATGAGTGTCAAATACGGGACTGTATATAAATCAGCGTTTTATTTTTCTGTAAGTAAACTTGTGGGAAAATAATCGCATATATAACTCCTCTATATATTGTCAATAACCCACTTTCGCTACAGACGAACTAATGGATTTCAAATGCGTAGTAATGTTTTCGTTTGAAGTTAGCTGCGATTGCCTAAGTGTCTGAGTTCAAGGATGTATAAAGTTTAAGCGTGAGTAATAACTGACGAATAAAGAAACACGTGAGTCGACAGAAATGGGAGGAAAAGTTGCAGGTTATCTGGAACAAGGCTTGTGAAGCCCTGCGATGGGGCATAAGGGTCGGCGAGTCTTTATCTCAGGCGCCCACCCGAGGAGAAGTACATCCTAATTGAGCTCGCTTGAGTGCTGCCGAGTTCTGCGAGAGAACATTTATCGTTGTTGAGCATGTACATCAGTGTTTCTCAACCTTCCTTATGCCGTGACTCTGTAATACAGTTCCTCGTGTTGTGGCAACCCCCAGCCATACAGTTATCTTCGTTGCTTCTTCATACTTTCAATCAGTATGTGTTTTCCGAAGGTCTTAGGCGACGCTTGTAAAAGGGTCGTTCGGCCCACAAAAGGGTTGCGACCCACAGGTTGAGAACCGCTGATATGCAGAAATGTCCCGGACATTGGAGTATGGATGGTCGTTTAGTCAATGTCAGAAATAAATACATAGATATTGACTGGTACTTATAGTGGACAATGTGAGGGAAAACAAGAGGACTATTAAGAAGGAGGAGCAGCAGCAGAAAAAGAAAGAAGAAAAAGAAGAAGAAGAAGATTAGGAAGAGCAGTGATTTTGGTGATAGTAGTAGAGGCAGCAATGTTATATTATTATCATTCGTAGTAGTAGTTGTTGTAGTAGCAGCAGCAGCAGCAGCAGCAGCAGCACCAGTAGTAGTTGTTGTAGTAGTATTAGTTGTTGTTGTTGTTGTTGTTGTTGTAGCAGGAGCAAAAGGAATAGTAGTTGTCGTAGTAAATGAGACATGATTAGACATATATCGCTAGAACTATATTTTTAGACCAATCAGAACTCGGTGAGTAACATTACGCCGACAGCCTTTACTTCCCAGGACTTTACCTGCTATCCACTCAAGGTTTTGAGCCAAGGATATTTCTAAAAGAAAAGATTTGGCTGCGTTCGGATTCGAAAAACGACCTTCTGATACGCAGGAGAGCGTCTAAGCGCTACACCATGGTGGCTGCCGCTAGCAGCAGCAGCAGCAGCAGCAGCAGCAGTAGTAGTAGTAGTGGTAGTAGTAGTAGTAGTAGTAGTAGTAGTAGTAGTAGTAGTAGTAGTAGTAGTAGTAGTAGTGGTGGTGGTGGTGGTAGTAGTAGTAGTAGTAGTAGTAGTAGTAGTAGTAGTAGTAGTAGTAGTAGTAGTAGTAGTAGTAGTAGTAGTAGTAGTAGTAGTAGTAGTAGTAGTGGTGGTGGTGGTGGTGGTGGTGAGGGTGGTGGTGGTGGTGGTGGTGGTGGTGGCGGCGGCGGCGGCGTCACTAGTAGTTGTAGTAGTACCACCTCCAAAGAGCACAAGCAAGAGGTATAGCAGCAACATATTTTAGTGCTAGTACCTATCTAAGACACATTATCATGTCTGTATTTTCTGTCCACAGAGAACCCCAGTTCTGCGCACCATACAACGGTACGACATGCAGTGCCTACCTCCAGGGACGCATTGTAATGCACCACACCGCAGAGTCCATACAACAGAGGGACACGGCGCTAAACACCCAGCTAGAAGAGCTGGTAGGTCGGGGTTTGTTCTCAGACGCCATGGGTGGTGACTTGTGCGAAGACCCAGCACGGCGGATGTTGTGTCACATGGCTTTCCCAGACTGCCATAACCAGACGATCCAGGCATTACAAGTTTGCAGGTAGGTGTCGCTTTATAATAAGAGAGAGAGAGATAGAGAGAGAGAGAGAGAGAGAGAGAGAGAGAGAGAGAGAGAGAGAGAGAGAGAGAAAGTTTGCAGGTAGGTGTCGCTTTACAATGAGAGAGAGAGAGAGATTGTGTGTGTGTGTGTGTATGAAAGAGAGTGGGATGTGATGTGAGGGGAAGAGAGTGTGTATGTGTGTGATCCAGTGAGCGAGAGAGTGTGTGAGTTTGTGCTTCATCAGTCATCAGTTCTCGTTATGCCTAGTGGCACATGAGGCTTCAGAGAGGACTTTCCATGCTTTCCTGTCCTGTGCAATCTTCAGTGCAGTTTTCCATGTCAAAGATGCCGCACTCAGGTCACTTTCCATCGTTCGTCTCCATGTTGTTTTTTGGGTGCCCCTGTTTTCTCTTTCCCTCTGGTGTCCATGTGAGAGCTGTTTTGGCAGGTATATCAGAAGTCATTATCATAACGTGGCCAAGCCATTTCCATCTTCTCTTGGTAATCATACTGTCTAAAGTTTCTTGTTTTGTGGCTTGAAGTAGTTTAGTGTTTGAGATTGTATCTGGCCAGAAAATTTTGATAATTCTACGTAGACATGTGTGGTGGCAGCTGGACAGCTTGTGTGCATCCTTTTTGGTCATTCTCCAGCAAGAACTGGCAAAATGATGCTCTTGTAGAGTCGGAGTTTCGTTTCTCTGCAGTAATTGTTAAATTTCCAGATTTGCCTCATCCTTCCAAAAGCAGCTCTTGCTTTGTTCAGACGTGACTGTATGTCTTCCTTTGTCCCTCCCAGTAGGGACACCACACTGTCAAGATATATGAAATGGTCTACATTTTCAAGTGATTGCTTACTTATGGTCACTGGTTGTTGGTTTGGACTGTTTGTCATGATCTTAGTTTTCTTTGTATTTATTCTCAGTCCCACCATTTCTGCTGTGCAGTTTAGTCTGTTACTTTTCTCTTGTATATGTTCATGTTTATGTGATAGGAGTGCTATATCATCTGCAAAATCAAGGTCATCAAGCATGGTGAATGGAGTCCATCGTATGCCTTTTAATGTCCTGTCTACTGTGTTCTTTAGTATCCAATCAATCACAAGGTTAAAGAGGAAAGATGACATAACACATCCCTGTCTTACACCTGTCTTTACTGGGAAAGATGTATTGTAATTTTTTATACTGCAGGAAAAGTCTTTATAGAAGAGAGCAATTATGTTGACTGTTTTTTCTGGAATTCCATAATGTCGTAAAATTTTCCACAGACCGTCTCTAAGGACGCTGTCAAAAGCTTTCTCAAAGTCCACAAAATTAATATATATACTTCTCTGCCATTCGTTGCATTGTTCTAAAATGTTCCGTATGGCGAAGATGTGCTCAGTTGTTTCTCTGCCCCTTCTGAATCCTGCTTGTTCCACTCGTAGGCATTTATCTACTCCTTTTTCAAGCCGCATTATGATGATTTTACAAAATAGTTTGTTTGGTACTGAGAGTAGAGTAATTCCCCTCCAATTACTGCAGTCTGTTAAGTCTCCTTTTTTGGGGATTTGGACTATTGTTCCTTCAGTCCAGTCATCAGGCAACACTTCTTTTTCCCAAATATCCTTGAACAATGGTTCTAGAATGCTAGCAGTTGTGTTGGGATCTACTTTAAGAAGTTCTGCTGGCAGTTCGTCTTTGCCTGGTGCTTTGTTGTTCTTTAAAGTGTGGATAGCTTTAAGGATTTCTTGTTTGCTTGGTGGTTCAGTAATAATGTCAATGTCCTGAGAGGCTGGTTGAATATCTGGGGGATTTTCAGGATCAGGTCTGTTCAAGAGGTCGGAGAAGTGTTTAGTCCACTGCATGTCTTGCTGGGTAATTTTGTGTGGGGTTTGTAGATCATGTGCTTTAGCAGCATTTTCTGCTGTTTCTGCAAGATTTTTCATAAATCTTCTCTTGTCAGCTCTGGCACTTTTCTTGGTCATTTTATTTAGTTCGCTATATTCTAACATTAGTTTGTCTTTCTGACGTTCTGATTTAGTGTGATTTATGAGGCTCTTTATTCTTTTTCGCTTGGCAATATAGTCCATGGTTTGACTACTTATCCATTCTTTGTGGTGTTGTTTCCTGGTTCCTAATATGTTATTGCTAGTTGATTTGTATGTTTCTTTGATCTGGTTCCATCTGTCTTGAATGCTGATTGTAGTTGGAGTTTCTGGGTCACTTGATAGGGTTTGAAATCTATTCTTGATTTCTACTATAAATTTAGTGGCAATGTATTTTTCTCTTAAAAGGTTAACATTGTAACGTGCTGTCTGTGTCTTAACTTGCGTGTAAACTTTTTTGAGTTTAATTTGTAGTAGAGCGACTACAAGGTTATGATCGCTTCCCACATCTGCTCCTCTTTTGACACGCACATCGCACATAGAATAGTTTGTGCTTGTGGGAGAAATATTGTGTGAGAGAGCATTTGTGTGGGTGAGAGAGAGAGAGAGATAATGCATCTGAGAGAGTATGTGAGAGTGTGTTAGAGAGAGAGAAGGAGAAAGTGTGTGTGTGTGAGTGTATGTGGGAGAGAGAAGATTATATGCAGCTCATCAACGAACATTACATCTCCCCCCCCCCCCCCCCCCCCCCCCCCCCGACACTTCTATAAAGTACAAGGTGGAAGAGAAAAAGAAGAAGAAGTACAAACACCGTCGTAGATTCAGGTCCGGACAGAGTCGGGATGTGAGTTGTTTTTTTTTTTTATGACCTTGGCTTTGTTGGTAATGACCTTGGCTTCCAGGTCGACCCTGCCTTAAATAGGTATCAAATAGAGTCCTGCGAAGTAAAGGCGGCCGGTGGGATGTTGACCATATCACCCACTGAGTGCCGTTGGTCTATAAAATATAGCTCGTCATATATGAAGACGGCAAAACGGGTCCTCTAATACAAACACTTTGTGGTGGTGGTGATGATGAGAAGGATGATGATGATGATTATGGGAAAAAAAAAAGGGGGGGGGGGGGTATGTATTTGTTGTATTGTTGTTTTTAAAAAAAGGCCATGCGTGACATAAAGTCCTTTAATGTTTTTAGCGAGTAAAAACTTACTGAAAAGTAACCGATGCAAATGGCCGTCAGGCCCAGTGACTGGCTGAACAAGTCACTAGCTTGTCCCTCTATTTTACTGATCAGATGGGCGCCGAGCAACTCTGACGTGAGACCGCGGGCGGGAATGTCATATTGGCGTCCGTGATCTCGGAAATGTCACATTGTATTCATGTCTTTGATGAAACTTATATGCTGCGTGTAGGACGCAGTTGCTTTCAGCTGTTTCGGTTGTAGGCCATTGAATTGTGCATGTCTATTAGTCATACTGCCAGTTTTAGTGGGCGAAATGGAATAGATATATGGTCGCCACTGCTAGTGAAAGAAGTAGTGGGTTAGACATACGGTTGCCACATCTCATGGGGGAAGTCTGTTAGACGTAAGGCAAAGAAGTTAGAGAAGATTCTTCGACGAGGACAACTATTCTGATTGTCAGAAACCTCATGTTATGTTTGCTGCGACAGAATTTATACTGCTAGTTCTTCTTCTTTTTGTTGTTGTTGTTGTTCTTCTTCTTCGTCTTCTTGTTCTTCTTCTTCTTCTTCTTCTTCTTCTTCTTCTTCTTCTTCTTCTTCTTCTTCTTCTTCTTCTTCTTCTTCTTCTTCTTCTACTTGGGCATTCCGAGCCCTTGAGGTTCATTGCTGCAGATATCCCCCGCCTCCGTTCATCTGTCGGGTTGGCCTTCTCTTTCCAGTTGGTGACACCAAGTCTTTGCAGGTCTGTCTGGACATTATCTCTCTATCATCTTCTTGGTCCACTAGTTCTATGTTTCTCAATTGTTCCCACTATTTATGTCATACGTCGGGGCGAATTATTTTACCTATACACAACATCAGTTATCGAACACCAATTATCGCTCGGCGTGCTCGAATCCGGGAATTGCATAATCAGGGGCCGTTACTGCTCTGAAAGTCAGCAATGATTCGTCTGCCTCACTTCATGTCTTGCATCCTCAGACAATGCATTCCTGATGGCTTCCTCCAGTCCAGCTCTTGATATTGTCCACTTACATGTAATGTTGCCTTCTGTTTCCACACTGTCTGATTGTATATCCGTTTCGCCTTTCCCCTAAGTGTCGAGCATCGGCCAGATCCCTTGTAAATCCTCACAGTGCCATTCTCCTCAGACCGTAAAGATCTATCTGTTCCTCGGCACTGTTCACCCAAAGGGTCCTCACAACATCCAGCTTGTCATACATCAGTTCACCACCAAGTGGTGCATAACCGGCCAGTCTATCTGCCTTCTCATTTCCTAACACGCCGGAATGACCTGGAAAAAATATCCAAAGGATGCTAACTACCCGGGACCTCTGAAGTGATGCTTGCCACTCTGCACGGAGCATGGCTGTCTCCACCTTTCTCAGCCTACTCTGTGAGTCAGTTACAATGAAGACGTGTGTGTACAGCTGATTCACCTAAACTCCAAAAGCTTATCCTTGAGAAGAGGAACATTTGTTAACAACCCGCCCACATTGGACAGCACGTTAGCTTGTAAACATACGGTAACCCCCTTAACTATTTGGTTGAAGTGAGTTTCTAGGATTTGCTCCTGTTGGATCTGCATCTGAAATACTGACACTCTGAGTCATCAGGTGTCAATCTTTCAGGTGGCAATCTAAGAAGCAACCACACGCATCCTAGAGAAAGCTATTACACAAGTTCTAGTCACAATAACAACCCCCTCCCACAGTAAACAACACGGACAGAGAACGAACAGAAATCTTGCGTTATTTAAACAAAAGTGGAAAGGAGACACGATAGCTTACGGCTGTGTTAGTTACTTATTACGACTAAAACATGCACGAACGAACAAACTTTATTTAATAAAGAGTTAAGAAATTGGGCACGCAGGCCCCTCTAACATTCTTCCCTTCCTTCAAATGGCTCTGATTGTTTGTCTCGTTTTATATGGCTCTGATTGTTTGTCTCGT